TTGGGGTGGATGAAGGCAGGGTGGAGAGCGAAATGAAGAGCTTGGTCTTTTTTGGACAGAAATGTAGGCTGAGTTTGTTTTTATCATCAGTCTTGCTCTGGGAATCAGTGAATGAGCCTGTGAGGGGTGAGAGATTGGGGACAGTTGCTAAAATTGTGGTGCAGCTGGTGCTCTTCCCTTGAGGAAAACCACATGTCATCTCCAAGGGTTCTTAAAGGTACGACTTTCCCTAATCACGGCTAACTGTAAGGAGAGAAGGAAAGGCACACACCACAGGCAGATCTTTTTCCCTCCTTAAAACAGAAACCAAATTTGCTATCTTGAACCTTCCCTCACTAATTAGTTCAATCCCTAGAATTCTTGTCACAGATGATTCCTAACACACATGCTAAGACCACATGTATGGTCCTTTCTGATAACCAACTCCCTTCCCCTGTCCCCGACAACACAATGCCCTTATAAACTTTTCTGTTTACCTCTCTACATGGAGGAGCTGTTTTTCTTGCTAATTAAAAACTTAAAGTTCAAGGACTCTCTTGTCTTCCTTAAAAAGGTTCTATTATTTTATAAATACCCCCAGAATCTGCTTTTCTTAAGATGGAACAGGAGACCCAGTAGTCAGGCTGCTACTCACCTCTGTCCCTAACTCCCTGCAGTCAAGCACCCGCCCCCGCCCCCGCCCCCAGTTCCTGCCTCTAGGCATTAGGTTTCCTTAGCTAGAAAATGAAGAGTTTTGTTTAGGATCCCTTCCATACTCCAAAAGATAAAAAGCTATTGTTAAACATCAAAGCATAAAACTTCTAATATAAGGAAGATAAGTAACCTATTAGGACATCTGAATTATTCATGAACCAGCCCCCAACATAGATATAAAGTTTTCAAGTCACTAATAAAGTGCAAATTCTAAAGAATATCTTCATTAGTTTGAGAGATCTTAGTAATTTCAAATTTTGGGAAAGCAAACATAAATACGCAACATTATTAGTAATAAATCACAAACTGTTAAAACTCATATATAATTAGCAGCTTATTCTGTGTAACACACTGACTTATACCCATGTAACCAAGCACTATTTTTCATCAAATTAACTCCCTTCCCAGGACTGGACATTCAGAGCTCTCTGTCCTATTACCTTTGTCTAGTTGTAAAGTTGTAATTATTTGGAATTTAGACAATAACTCTAATTGGGTCAAACTGGTAAAAACCATAATGCCATAGCCACAACGTAAGAATTTCTTTTTCTTTCAAGGGGTACTAAAAGAATAGAAGTTCAGTATTTTTTCATAGTTTTCCAAAAGGACAATTTTGGGGCAGCTGCAGGTTGACATTAAACATGTGAATAGAATTCACTAAATCACTCAGTATCTAAGGAATGTAATAAAACAAACACACAATGATTAACGATGGTCTTCACTATCGCCAAAGGTGATATTAATAGCTAGAAGAATTATGTTTTACCAGCTACTCAGTGTTCTTAATTTTAGATAAAAACTTGTGAGTTTGGGATAAAAGTCACTGCATTTTATTTCAGTTCCCCAGATCACACCACATTCTCAGTACCAAAAGGAAATTATGGCACTAGGGAACTTTTCTGTTTACCTCTCTACATGGAGGAGCTGCTTTTCTCAGAATTAACTGATGTTTTCTAAAATCTGCAAATCACCATAAAATAAAAGCCAAGGTCTACATTATCCTCAAAATTGACAGTGCCTGAAAGAGATCAGTAATAAATGCTTCTCTATTTTGACTGAGTACTGTACAACAAAATAGTATAACATGATACGTAACCAATGTTACAGAAATGGTTAAATCAGAAGAGAGATATAAAACACATTTAATATGTGAAATAAACATTTGTAAATATGGTTGAAAATTATATTTTTATAGTTCTAATTATGAAAGTCATGTAGTTCTAATTTATTATCCCACAAATTTACATTGCATTGAAAAAACTCTTCTTAAAAAATAAATATGAAAAGATCTTAATTCATTGGAGTTGTAGTAGAGGTTCTCCAACAAGACTTCCAAGAAATTCACAATATATTTCGTTTTATCTATAAAAAATACAATATTTTGAATAAGTTAAATTACTCATCATTTTAATTAATTGCTTGATGGTGAACATTAATAAATGCCTCATTTTTAAATAATACCCAAGATACATCTAAGTATATTTGATTCTTGAGTTTTCATTCAAATGGAGAAAACAGTTTTAAAAAATATCCTACTTATTTATTCTCAGTTAGGGGACTTGATGCCTAATATATATATATATATATATATATATATATATATATATATATTTGGCAGCAGGTTTATTGTTATGCATTTGTCTTAAGATAATATTAAAACCCTGACTGTAATTTCACAGCAGAAAATGAATGATAACAGATGATTGGGAAAGAAAGAGAGTCATTTCAAGATGATTAGCTGGTAGGAGGGAACCAAACAGGAACTTAAAAACTGGCTGAGGGACAGCTGTGGTGGCTTACACCAGCAATCCCAGCACTTTGGGAGGCCACAAGGGGTGAATGACTTGGGGTTAGGATTTCGAGACCAGTCTGACCAACATGGTGAAACCCCGTCTCAAATAAAAATATAAAAATTAGCTGGGTGTGATGGTTCACGTCTGTAATCCTAGCTACTTGGAGGCTAAAACATGAAGCAAACTGCTTCAACATGGGAGGCAGAGGTTGCAGTGAGTCACCATAGTGCCACGGCACTCCAGCCTGGGCAATGGAGCAAGCTCTATCTCAAAAACAAAAACAACAAACAACAAACAAAAAACCCCAAAACGAAAAACAAAACCTGTCTGAGGATAATCTGCAGACGGAATGATTAACATATGAGTAATTACATGTGGGTTTATTAGCAACCACTGAAAGGACCACTTACGGTTGAATCTCAGGTAAGAATTGTATGTTTAGTTCTTTGTCTTTATAATAGCATCTTTGAAAATGAAACAAAATTGGACAGGAGAATAAGACTAATAAAATCTCAAATACTTATTTATCATCTATTATATGTGAGTTATCTTATTTAGTGCTCACTCACAATGACACTGTTGGTGCTATTATTTTCCTTCTTTTATAGATAAAGCACCTAGAGTTTGGAGAGGTCAAGCTATTGCCAAAGGTCAAGTAGTAAGTGCCAGAGAGTTGTGAATCTGTCTGGCACCAAAACTCATATTGTTAATTACTCGAACATGATAGCTCTCTTACTGGAACAGAGCTTTTTAACCTGGTATCCTAAATTTAGGATGTCCGTGGTAAGTACTGTATTACCAATGATTTCATATTTATGTGATTCCCCCGCCACCCTCCCAGTTTTATCACAGACTCAAAGGGGTGAACGACCCAAGAAAGTTAAGAAACTCTGGACTAGATCCATGAACAAAACCAATAAAGCCTTTTTTTTTTTAAACAATTATAAAAACATGAATTTAGGTTTACAACCAGAAAGATACAGCAGTCGTCTTCTGGGAAGAGAAAGGCAAAAACATATGCAGTTTTAGAATGTAAAAAGTTCTAAATAAAGTATAATTTAAAAAATTCTAAATGTATTAACAGTGTAAAGAAAGTTCCTTGGAGAGTCAGAGCAGCCTTGGGCTGCAGGAAGACAGAGAAGAAGTAAGGCACCTCTCATTTGGGTCTGGGTTATTCAGGTCACATGGTTATTCTTCTGAGCACGATACTCCAGAACAACACTGAGAAATGGAGTGAGGCCTATTCAGGGTTAAGGTGATGAGAATGGCAATGGGCATGGAAACCCTATCATAAGATAGAGTTGTTTTATATGGGAATAAAGAGTAGCAGAAGAAAATACATGATAGAAGACGACTGTAACATTGATCAGAGAGAATGGGTCAGAACCAGAGGCTAGGAGGAGGCAGAATTCACCTTGGTGCATCATGACAAGAATTTTATTCAATAGGGAATTAGTGACCCCATGGTCACTTCAAGTATTGAAACAAAGACTATCAATGGGAACCAAACTTGAGACTAACTAAAATGAAAAATAAATCAAAAATAAAAAATAAAAGCATCACAGAAAAGGCCTAGGAATCTGCATGGTAAAATCCTGATAAAAAACAAAGTTTATATTGTTTGCTAGAAGACCTGTAAAAGTTATTATTGAATTGAGAATAAAAGTCTCAATAGAGAGACTTAATTTCTTTTTTCTTTCTTCCTTTTGTTTTTTTTGAGATGGAGTTTCGCTCTTGTTGCCCAGGCTGGAGTGTCATGGTGCGATCTTGGCTCACCGCAACCTCCACCTCCCAGGTACAAGCAATTCTCCTGCCTCAGCCTCCCAAGTAGCTGGGATTACAGGCATAAGTCACCACACCCGGCTAATTCTTTCGTGTGTATATTTTTAGTAGAGTTGGGGTTTCTCCATGTTGATCAGGCTGGTCTCAATCTCCTAACCTCAGGTGATCTGCCTGCCTTGGCCTCCCAGTGCTGAGATCACAGGCATGAGCCACCATGCCTGGCCCTTAGCTTCTAAATACTGAATGAGCAAGTCATACCACATAGCAATATCTGCCTATCATCTGTAGAAATGAACTGACTCTCAGGCCAGCAATATTACCAAGATGGATTTAAGTGGGAGCCTTAACATAACATGATTTCTAGAATAATGAATTATTAAGGTGTCTTTCAAAGATGTAAATGTTCTCAAGTACTTTAGAAATGCCAACCTTTGAAGATTTTAAGTTTCATAAGGTACTATAAGGTTCATAAAGAAGGGTGCCTAGGTTATCAGACCTCAAAGAAGGCAGGAGGATGGGAATAAGTGAAACTTCAGAGCCCAGTAGGATGTGGGAGTGTCCCTGGGCTCCCTTAGTCTCTGGCCTGACATAATTGTGCAGGCTAAGCAAACCTAAATGTTACCCATTTGAACTCTTGTTGGGGCGGTGCTGGGACAATGTAAAAATACATTGACATTCAACATTCTCCTGCCCCTCCCCATTTCACATACTAAAGAAAACGTAAGTGCTCACTGTCATTTCGGAGGAAATTATTAAGCAGTTGGAAAAGAGGAAAACTATCCCAGGAGTCTTGTGGTTGAGCCTCTAGTGCAGTGTCCATATCCACTGTAAATAAAGCCCAAAATTTCTCTGCATGTTCAGCCAACAAATCAGGCCACCAGGCAAACGCCTACAAAAGGATAAAAACATAAAGGACAGAAACAGCTTACTTTTTAGAAACATGCACAAGTACTGTGCCAGCTGAAAATATTTGATAACATGTCTTAGTTTCACAAACAAGTATGATAAACAAAAGGTAATATGTTTTAACCTGAGAAAAATTTTATAAGTACATAACACATTTAAATCATAAATTCGGCACTGAATAATGAAATATAAAACAGAAAATTATAATGTACCAAGACATTTAATTCCTTTATAAAAGAAATACATGCTTAGTTTACAACATTTAGAAAATACATAAAACAAAAAAATGTATCTCACAATTTAAATGTATTTATTCTGAATTTTTTGATGTATTTATTGCTAATATTTCTTTTTTTCTGTGAATAGAAACATTAAAACATTTGGTATCACACTTTATAATATTTTCATATGATTTCACTTTTAATAACAGCATAATTTTCTACGATAAGGATATACTGTTATTTATTTACATATTCCCCTATTAAAATGGCTGTTTTCAATTTTTTGCTATTCTCAATGATATTGTGCTAAATATCTTTACATAAAAATCTTTGAATATAGTACTGATTATTTCCTTAGGATAAACTTCTAATAATTACTGGATTAATGGGTATGCATTTTAGTCTTCCCACATTGCAAATTGCTCTTTACAAAAAGTGTTTGCTCACATCCATTCTCCATTCAGCATCCAGTCATCATTTCATTTCATTTTTATTTTTTTTTTGAGATGGAGTTTCACTCTTGTTGCCCAGGCTGGAGTGCAATGGTGCATTCTTGGCTCACCACAACCTCCGTCTCCTGGGTTCAAGCGATTCTCCTGTCTCAGCCTCCCAAGTAGCTGGGATTACAGGCATGTGCCACCATGCGTGGCTAATTTTTTGTATTTTTAGTAGAGACAGGGTTTCACCATGTTGGCCAGGATAGTCTTGATCTCTTGACCTCGTGATCCACCCGCCTTGGCATCCCAAAGTGATGGGATTACAGGCATGAGCCACCGTGCCCGGCCCATTTCATTTATTTTTTTGAGACAGGGCCTCACTCTGTCACACAGGCTGGAGTGCAGTAGGTTGATCTCAGCTCACTGCAACTTCTGCTTCCCAGGTTCAAGTGATTCTCATGTCTCGGCCTCCCAAGTAGCTGGGAGCACAGGTGCATGTCACCATGTCTGGCTAATGTTTTCGCATATTTTTAGGAGAGATGGGGTTTCACTATGTTGGCCAGGTTGGTCTCCAACTACTGGTCTCAAGTGATCTGCCAGCCTCGGCCTTCCAAAGTGCTGAAATTACTGGTGTGAACCATGACACTTGGCTTCAAATATGAATTAGATTATAACAGGAAGAGACCAACCTCAAAAAAGTGAATTGCAAAATTTTGGCACACCTTTTTTCTTAAGAACTTTTCATGTTTATAAACATTTCATGTTTCAAGTTTATAGTAAATATGGCCTTAAAATAATAGATATAAAATAATAATTAGTAACTTTAAAAAATTGCCATGTAATTAATTAGCAGATGGTAAAAGTTGACTTAAGGAAGAACAGTGTAGTATAAATAATAGATTTAAGGGTTAGGAACATATTATTGCCTGGCTCAATGCTGTGTCCAATATATGAATGTGAAAACTTGTTAAGAATGGTATGCATGATGAAAATTGAGCATATTGTTTTTTACAAATATTATCTTTGAATCTTTTTGGTTAAATATCTGATAAAATGGGTAAATGACATAATATAAAAACACACGAAAGGCTGGGCACAGTGGCTTAAGCTTGTAATCCCAGCACTTTGGGAGGCTGAGGAGGGTTGATCACCTGAAGTCAGGAGTTTGAGACCAGCCTGGCTAATGTGGTGAAATCTGGTCTCTACTAAAAATGCAAAAAATTTGCTAGGCATGGTGGAGGGCACCTGTAATCCCAGCTAGTCTGGAGGCTGAGGCAGGTGAATCACTTGAATCTGGGAGGCGAAGGTTGCAGTGAGCTGAGATTGTGCCATTGAACTACAGTCTGGGTAACAAGAGTGAAACTCCATCTCAACACACACACACACACACACACACACACACACACACACACGTTCGCGTACTCACTCGCGCTCTCTCTCTCTCTCTCTCTCTCCCCCCATGATTTTATTACACAGATCTTGCTCTTATCTTTTGTAGCCTATGGTGGTGACAAAGAAAAGAAAAAACCTGGGATTCCCAACTCTGAGTAGAGCAGCATAGAAAAATGCAGAACTGCAAACAGACATTTTCAAAATCTCACTTCCAGTTCACAGCCAATATATTTGCAAAAGGCTAAAATTAAGAAAATAACAGTCATATTAGCTCAGGATTGTTTCAGGACTCTGAGAAAAATTCCTTAAGGTCTTCTTAATGTTAACTTGGAAGACAGAGCCAGGGTGAGGAATGAAATAAAATGGAATATACATTTTTTGTTGTTGTTTTGTTTTTACTAAACAGCTTAAGGTTGGCAAGATTTTGCCATCAACTAGAAAATTTCATTGTCTTGTAGAAGTATGTATTTATGCCTCAATTTGTACTCCTGATGATGCTATTCTTAATGAATGTAAGCCAATCTGTGATGAATGCCTCTTCTAATGATGGCTAGAGAAAGCTTTAAGCAGTCATTGTCCTTGAAAATGAAAGCAACAGTTACTGTTACCTTGAGAACATAGGGTCTAGTCTACCACCTGTCCTCTTCTCTTTCTTGCCATCCCGCCCTGGGTTGGTAGGAAGATGAGGGGCTCTATAATTCCTTCCCTAGGGTGTTATTTCCTGTGGGGTGGCTAAGTTTCAACAGCATCAGGGTCTCCACCAGGGAGGTGCATCTGTTAGAGATATATCAGTCTGCAGAAATGCATCCATCTACAGAGTACTAAACAGAAGTCATGATTATCTGGGTTAAAGTTCTTTTGGCTCTAATGCTAAGCCACTAATTAGTATAAATGAGATGGCAGAGGCAGAAGGCAATGTTTAATTTGTTTAAGAGGGAAATACAAAACAAAGTTTTAAGTCCTTTAGCTTAAAAAATTTCCTACTGGCCAGGCACAGTGGCTCATGCCTATAATTCCAGAACTTTGGGAGGCCAAGGAGGGCGGATCACCTGAGGTCAGGAGTTCAAGACCAGCCTGGCCAACATGGAGAAACCCCATCTCTACTAAAAATACAAAAATTAGCCAGGCGTGGTGGTACACACCTGCAATCCCAGCTACTAGGAAAGCCTGTTTTTTTAGTAAATGTAGTTTACAATGGTAGCAGGTGAAAATGAACTCTGAACCTAGAAGCAGAGTACTGAGATTTTAAACTTAGTGGTGATACTTGAGTGATAATGGGCAAATCAGTTCCGTGGGCAGGTGGATTTCCATTTCTTTATCTGCAAATTGCCAATAACAATACTTACCCTAACCTCTCCCAGCATTGCTGTGAAAATCAAATAAATATAAACGTTTCTTGCTGTACTAACATAATAACTGAATATTGTGATCAGTAATTACAAATATGTGTTGAAATTCACACAAATCTTAAGTGTTTTAAAAATAATGTCCAATATGAATTAAATGGTATTTATATGCCAAGTACTGCTCTAAAGGTTTTATAAACATCATCTTACTTAATCCCCGAAACAACTCTTTCAGGTAGATGGTATAATTATCCTTACCTTATATGTTACCAAACAGAGATTAAATAACTTGCCCAAAGTCATATGGTTGATAGATAACAAAGCAATGATTTGAATCTAAGTCAGCTGGAGTCTAGAGACCAAGTCCTTACACATATAGTGCCTTCTTAAGAGAGACATATATGGAACATTACCTATCATCTCTCTCTCTCCATCTATCCATCCATCCATCAATCACCAGCACATCAGATCACTGTTAATATCTTTTAATTTATGGTCTAATTTCTTTATATACTTTCTAATTTTTCTTAAAGCCTGAGGATTTTGATTATTATTATTTTTTGAGGTGGAGTCTTGCTCTGTCACCCTGGCTGGAGTGCAGTGGCACAATCTCAGCTCACTGCAACCTCTGCCTCCCAAGTTCAAGTGATTCTCATGCCTCAGCCTCCTGAGTATCCCGGATTACAGGCACCTACCACCATGCCCAGCCATTTTTTCTATTTTTAGTAGAGATGTGGTTTCAACATGTTGGCCACGCTGGTCTTGAACTCCTAACTTCAGATGATCCACCTGCCTCAGCCTCCCAAAGTGCTGGGATTACAGGCATGAGCCACCAGGCCCGGCCTCGATTACTTTTATCCTCAAAATATAATAAAAATTTATAATTTAAAACAAAAAAGGAAGATGGCTGCCTAAATGAGCAAAAACAGTGAAGCTGACTTTGAAATGTATTTTGTGCTTATTTACCAAGACAAGATTAGTTTGCAATCCTGTACCTTATAGATGATCCTAAAGGCCCTGGAGACAATCCAGTGTCTATAGTAACCCCTGCCCCTGCCACACACATACACACATACTCACATATACTGCCACATGATTCTGAGGGCCAAATACTGGAATGATTTAAGTTCTCTTAAAGGACAGGTAGAATAAACAGGTAACACCACAACTATTTTCTAACTAATCGTAAGTTTTTACAACTCCTGTGATTCACTGATAATCAGGTTCATACATAAACAGATATAAGCAATAACCAAATGAGATGAGGAGCTGAAAATGCTTTAAAACATATGAGAATATAAAGTATTATCCTCATTCTTATATATTTAAAAATCAGTAAATAATGAAAACCATTTTTGGTAGAGCATTCATGCCCAGGCAATTGTTTTTGAGAATCACTGCTGAAAAGGGAATTCTACTTCTATACCTGAGCCATATGAAAGCCACTTGTTGGTCATCTTCTTCCAAGATGAGGGATATTTGTTGGTCTAGAGGCTAATACAACCTTAAATTTAAACCCATCCTAAAAACGGTTTATCTCACTTACTATTCAGATAGAAACGATGTGTAATTGAGGTCATTTTACCTGTTGGGATTATTGTAATCTAGTCAGTAGTAGACAGTAAATAGATTTTGTTCATGGTCAATTCTTTTGTATAATCACACTTTAATATATTCCTTAGGCATGCATGCCAGTTGGAGAGGAACAAGGATACACATGAGCAAAAATAAATTTTAAAAATCAAATACTCTTTCTTTACATCAGAATCCAATTAGAAGCATAATTTGATTCAGATACTCATGTTTGTGAACTCTCACAGTCCAGGCTCTGTTGTTGATCCAGCCCAGCAAATGAATCAACCATCTGCAGTGAACTGAGAGCTGTGTACATTGCAAATACCAAATTACTGCCAAACAACTTTTTCGCCCATGGTGGAATGGATATGGTGGGTGACATCATATTTAAAATATTTTAGGGATCTTAAGTCAATATTTTGCTGTAATAATAAGCAACCAAGTAATGACTTGAGTTGTGCTCATATTGTTCATGGTCTGTCCCTCTCATCCTTTCTTTTTTTTTTGGGACGGAGTTTCGCTCTTGTTACCCAGGCTGGAGTGCAATGGCGCGATCTCGGCTCACTGCAACCTCCGCCTCCTGGGTTCAAGCAATTCTCCAGCCTCAGCCTCCTGAGTAGCTGGGAATACAGGCACGTGCCACCATGCCCAGCTAATTTTTTGTATTTTTAGTCGAGACGGGGTTTCACCATGTTGACCAGGATGGTCTCGATCTCTCGACCTCGTGATCCACCCGCCTCGGCCTCCCAAAGTGCTGGGATTACAGGCTTGAGCCACCGCACCTGGCTTCCCTCTCATCCTTTCTACTGATATTCTCAGCACTCCATCCATCTCCCTTAGGCAGAGTTCTGGAATATACCAGAGTACAAGGAAAGAAGAGAATGACAGAATGGAAAGGGACATCTCCAGGTTTGCATTGTGATCACCACTCCATGCTTCTGCATCCCTGTTTTAATGCTTCGGTTCAGGTCTGTCAGCAGAACCAAGGCAGGACAATCACTCCTGCCTTTCTACTTAAATTACAAAACAACAATGTGGTTTATTGGAAAACGTCCAGGTCTGGAGCCTGGCCTGGGTCTTCACCCAGTCATTCACTAGCTGTGCACTTCTGCTGAGTTGCTCAGCTTTCCTGGGTCTGTTTTCTTATCAGTAAGATGCTGTGTGTGGAAAGGGTACACTGGTGATATACTATGGCTTTTCCAGCAGGCATCTGACACCTCCTAGCTCTGTCAAAGCATGCAGCTTTTGGATGGAGAGTTGTCAGATTCATTTGCCTAAAATTATATGGTCAGAGATAGTCTGGTCACTGAAATGTAGAGGCAGACTTAAAGATTTTCTGGAAAGGAACTTACACTATCTTTCTAAGGAGAAAACATAGGAATTCTGCAGAAAAGCCTGAGAAGAGAGGTCAAGGGGCCTTCAGAGAGAAGGGAAAACTGCCTGATAAGTTACTGTCAAAGATCTGAAGGACACAAAACCTGCTTAACTGAGAAATTGTTGAAGGATAGAAACAACCTCTTTGCCCTGTAAAGCAAACTGCCACTGTGGAGAGAGGTAGAATGAAAATAAAAGGAACTGACACGTGAGCCACTTGAAGGTCTCTTTGAGGCAGATACATTAACCTCCACCAAGGGAGCTGAGTCAGGTGCTCTTTCATGGAGCAAAGGAACTCTAGCTTGAACATCTGGCAAAATAAGTATCAGTGCAGAATGCAGTCCACCAATCCACTCTGGAAGTCAGTTTGAAATCAGATTAATTCACTCCCAATCTTGTTCAGAGAAAAAGTGAGATTTTCTTTTTCTTTTTTTTTTCTTTCTTTTCTTTTTTTTTTTTTTTGTTGTTTAAAGGACAAAAAACAACCAAAGACACAAACCAAATATCAAAATCCCTTCAGTCATAATGGCCATCAGTAATTATGCATGCAATTATTATAAGATACATGTACCAAACAGTATAACAACAATTAGCACATTCAAAGAAAAACAGACGTTCTTTAATTTCAAAGAAAGGACTAATTGGCTAAAATGAACTACAATCAGAGTAGATTGTATTTTAAATTCACATAGAAGATATCCTATGCTAATATAAAAGTGGAATTAATTTACTCACCTCTCTTCCCTGAGGGTTTCCAAGAATTTGGAAGCATTGCAGGTAGAACAATTGCCATAATGTTACAAAGCATCTTAAAAAAGGTCATGATAATAGTCCTACATTGCAGCATATAGTATAGTGATATTTATGAATAATGAATATCTCTATTAAATAAAGTCACCTGTATTCTGTGGATTAGTAAATCATATATACATTTTAATTGTGTTTGGATACATTATACTTTGATAAGCATTTTAGTGATTGCATGAAGTATAAATAACATTTAATTTTTAGTTTTTGTAAAATGTTTGAGAATATTAGATATACCCGTTTTGCTGAAATATATACTGCAATTGAATATCCAATTATTAATATATGTTTTAATTCAAAAAATCCTAATACTCTGACAATAATGCCTTTTAACAAAAGACAAAGACAAAACATACATATATTTTATCATATAATCATTTTCATTGTAACACAGCTATGGTATCAGCCTAGAAAAGAATCTCCTGGGAATTCATTTCAAATTATTGAAGCAGCTGTTTCTTTAGTTTAAAATAAAATATCCATAACAAGTTCACACATGACAGATGCAAGTTAAAAACTAGATTCCACAGTGTGAGCTAAAAGCAGATGTTTTGAATGATCATATTTATAACCAGATATGATCATATTTATAACCAGATACAATAAATCTTAGTTACCTATAGTAAGAATTCATGAATACTCTTTTCTATGAATTGGCTTACAATGTAGTTCCTGTAGTTTCTTAGATCTTTTGGAACCAGGCTTCATTAAATACAAATATTCTGTAAACTCATATGTATCTAGTCTTTTTTATTCTTGCTTATTTCATGTGCTTCCTCAAGGATAAAAGCACTGTTAGGGCACTGACATTTATTATATTTATTTAATGCTACACATTCTCCCTATCCAACTCAAAGTCAGAAAATTCTTTTGTTTCCGTGAATAAACTCATGACTATTAGAGTGAGAATTTTAAGTCTCAGAATAAGCAGTTTGCCTGGTGAAAAGCCACTCCAAATATTTAGTGAATGTTAATATTCAATTAGAACTTTAAAAAATTATAACCAATGCAGGTTTGGTGAAAATTTAAACAAGTGAAAAGTTTGATGTAAGAGTGAAAGCCTAGAGTTACCAACCATACAATTATGATTTTCTTCTAAAATTTTGTTTTATAGTGTATCACAAATTTCCCACTTCTGCGTCGATCAACTTACATTTCTAAACCAAAGTAATCACGGCACAGGGGGAAAAGCACGCGATGAGGCGTTGTGAGACGGGTTTGTGTTCTGTCTTTGCTTCTTACCAGTTATGCATCCTTGGGCAGATCCCATAGGTGTTTGTTGTCAGGAATAAACATGAAATTATACACACACACAATTGTTTTGTAATATATGGAAGTTACGTTTTTAGAAAATTCACATATGCTCTCATGTGAATGTACAATGGCATGTACAATGATGCAGTGAAACACTGCTTATCATTGGTGCTTATTCATTAAATATTCAGATATGTATCACGACTATGAGCAGGCCACTTATTCTGTGTAGCCCCCACCACAGCAAAGCCTTACATATAGCTTTATACTACAGTGAAAACAGGTCATCACCTCTGCATGATGCTCTTCATTCTGCTGCAAGACTTCTATGCAGAGCTCTGCTAGATGAAGAATCTCTTCCAGCTTTCTAGCAGGAGATGCCTGGCTCATGGTCTCTATGTGAAAAAAAAATCATAATCACGTTACCTTGAAAACAAAAAGCCAAACATGTTTGAAGACATAATGATGAGACTAGAATGTTTAAATAGAATGACAAATAAGGAATACGAGAAATACAAATGAATACATTATTTAGTTTTAAAAAAAAGCTGTTCACCAGATTACAGAAAATATTTCACCCACAAAGCAATGACAGGGAACTGCAAGGGCTTTGCCATTTAATACATAAGAACAGGTGCATCAGCACATTAGATGCTCAACTTCTGCAACAAACAAGTTATAATTCTCCTCAAGGTCGGCAGCACAAAGAGAGCAGATACAACAGTCTTTTCTTTCTCACTGTATTGTGTTATCAGTACAATACCATTCTCACCAGATGAGTCATTCCTGGCATTAGCAAAACCCATGTTTTTTCTTGCTATTTAAATTCCCAGCCAGAAATGTCTATAGTTCATGTTGATCTTAAATTCAAGAAGTACAAAGTCGAGCCGGGCGTGGTGGCTCACGCCTGTAATCCCAGCACTTTGGGAGGCTGAGGCGGGTGGATCATGAGGTCAAGAGATCGAGACCATCCTGGTCAACATGGTGAAACCCCGTCTCGACTAAAAATACAAAAAATTAGCTGGGCATGGTGGCGCGTGTCTGTAATCCCAGCTACTCAGGAGGCTGAGGCAGAAGAATTGCTTGAACCCAGGAGGCGGAGGTTGCGGTGAGCCGAGATCGCGCCATTGCACTCCAGCCTGGGTAGCAAGAGTGAAACTCCGTCTCAAAAAAAAAAAAAAAAAAAAAAAAAAAGAAGTACAAAGTCACCTAAAACAACTCTGACAGCTAGCAATTGACTGATTTCCTCCCTATTTCCCAGCCACCATCTCACCCCACCTTTCCAAGTGAGGGAATTGTGCGGGAGGAAAGGAGGAAGTGTTCTCTGAAGCTGAAGGTTCTTTCAGCGGTAAGCTGAACTGGTATAAAAAGGAGAGACCACAATGAGATTAAGTGTGGTTACCTGAAATTCTGCTATAGAGAAGGCAAAGTAGTTATTTTCTAAGATTCAACTAGCTGGCAGAAATTAGAGATGCCCTGTGTAATGAAACTGTTCCAAAACAATGTGAAGAACAGAGTTTCCAATAAGGATATTAAAGATAAATGTTGTCTAGGAGTCAGAAGATCTTTCTCTTTGCTCAGTAAGGAGGTTGTGAGGAAGGAAAATCAAATTTTCGTAAAATCCAGGACAATTTAAAGGCCATTTTTTTTCCCGCAACAGATTTTTTTCCTTGACGTACTTCTTCCTAAAACATCAGCTTTAAATTTGGAAGAGACACTTCCATTTGCTCTGTTCTAACGTGTTCCCAAGGGCTGTACAATGATGCAGTGAAACACTGCTTATGATTGGTATTTATTCATTAACTATTCATTAGACATTCACTGTAGCTCAGATACAGTGCAATGCACTGATGTGACGTTCACAACCCTCAATCCTCAAGCCATATACACTTCCTACTATATTCCCCTGAGGAATGGAAAGCCATTGCTCCTCTGTGACAAGGATAAAAAATTACAATGATTCTTTAGAAAAATTAGTGTGAAACACCAAATAGTCAAGTGTGACTTCAATGTTATCAGCTGTAAGAAATAAAAGGCAGCATGAGACATACTTTCATCTCAAACAACTCAAAATCGGAAACTCATGACTGAAAAGTTCCTTAGACATCAATGATCAAATCTTTCATCTGTTTCCTGAATATTTCAACATCCTCAAATGAGGGTGAAGTCCAGGAGGCTCAAGATTTTGCATGACAATGTACTTAACTTAGGGGCAGCTCTAGCTGTTCTAGCTTTGTTAGGAAGAGAAGGGCCCTAGGAAAAGTTCAGAAGCAAGGTGAGGCAAATCTATTGGTGATACAGAAAATGTGAGGGAAGACTGCTCAATGCAGGTCTAGGGGAGACACTGGGGGAAGGTAAGCCAGAAGCATGGTCTTAAAGAAATAACAAATGACCTGGGGAAGAGGAGAAGGGATTTTCAGAGAAGAAATATTGTATGACACAGATGGGGTACATTTTGGAGGAAGATGATGGTAACAATGGTTAGAAATAATGCAGTTTCTTGAGAACCAATTATGTGTCAGGCACAACCCAGGGCACTTCCCATGTGTTAGCACACACATTTTCCTAATAGGTTTGGTTTTTATTCATGTAAATCATAGATAAGGAAACATGCTCAAAGAGATAAAGGCAGCAGCTAAAAAGCAGTGAAGGTGAGACTTGAATATGTGGGCTCTTGTACTTGTCTGGCTGGAGTAAGAATGTCCCAAGAATGATGGGTGATCACAGCAGACTTTAAATAAGATAATAAGTAGACTAGATGACTACATCCTATGAATAACTTGGGGCAAATGTTTCTTAGAAGGGTCTCAGAATAAATTAATTTTAGGAAAATGTATTTGGTGGTTGTGTGCAAGAAGGACTGGTGAAAGTGTGTGACATGGATCCTGAAGATCTGGTTTAACAGAATAGTGAGCTATGGAAAGATGATACTAGGAACAGAAAAGAAGGGAAAGATGCACAGATACTCCAGAGGAAGAATTTGTGAGCCACTGTTGAGTGGCCAGAATTTGCAGGCCAGAGAGTAGTGTGATTCTGAGGTTTGGAGACTTCGTGGCTTAGAGAATGATGCTGCACAGTCTTCAGTGAAACATCCCATATATTTTAGCACTAACTACATTTCCACATAAATGTGATTTAAAATAAGTTAAATATTCTAAACTGAAAAATATAATTGTGAATTGTAAAATCTGCAAACATGCAGTTAGGCTATCTGAATCTCTGCCTGACAAACTCCCACTCTCCTTCAAGGCTCTACTTTAATGCTACCTTAAAATTGGACCTTCTCTGACTTTTGGGACTGAAGGAGTTGCTCCTCTCTCTGAACTTCCCTATTACAGGCTCATGAGTCTGTTGCTAAACTGTATTAGATCGAAGTCAGAAACTGAGTCTCATTCATACAGTTATCTTGTGCAGGCTTTGGACCACGGCAGGTATTTAATAAATGTTTACTGAAAATGCAGCAGAATAATTATGAGAGGAAAAGCATGATAAAAAAATTCAATCAATACTCCAATTTTTAAATTTTGCATGGGATTGCAAAGATCTCATCTGTATCTAATACATCAAGGGTGGGTAAGAGACCAATCTCACGATAAAATGCAGCTGTAGCCTGATAATCCTTCTCAAGTAACTGATAAATGTTTAGTTCTGAAATTCTTAAAGAAAAAGCTTTCTTCAGAAATGAAAACTTTCTCAGAAAATGTCTTCAAAATAACCTTTAAGCTTCAAGAGGACATCACTTATCTTTCTTAATTTCTCCATTTTTAGATGAAGAGTATTAAGTTTGGGAGTCAGAAGGTTCTTGAACTCCTTAAATTATGTACTAATTTTTGTGTAGAGCCATTTGTGGGGTGAGGGAGAAGGACCATATCTTTCAGCAGATTCTCAAAGTTGTCTATAAACCAAACAAATGCTAAGAAGCACCAAACCAGATAATTTCTAAAATTCCTTCTAGCTGAGGCAATCTATGCCTCCTATAAATGTTGTACTTATATATTGCATTATATTATTTAATGTACCCATAAATGTGTATAACATGGTTTTCTTAAAGAAAGGGAAAGGCAATAAAATTTATTTATGTATCAAAGATTAAGAATATTTTTCCTACATACTTCAGTGCTAGGGAATAGCACTATTTGAACTTTGCCTAACTCTCTGCATGTTTGCAGATTTTACAATGTATAACATTGTTTCAGTTTAGAATATTTAACTTATTTTAAATCACTAAAGTAGGTAGGAAAAATAAATCCGACATACTCTACCAAATCCTCACAAGCATTCTGTAAATTAGAGAATCATGATTCTCCATTTCCAGATTCTTGGAGAGGTTAAAGGTGTCTCAGTTCATACAATTTGTTGCTGGCTGAGATGACATTAAAATCTTACCTCTGATGTCATACAGACAGAAGTAATGTTACTAAAATACTTGAATTTTTTTTCCTATTTTAACTTTCTGAATAAAAATCATGTACAAATCCCCCTACTCCACATCCTTAGCCACAAATACACAATAATAGAAAATAATAACAGAACCAACCTTAGAACTTATTATGTGTGAATCTTTCAAAATCAGCTTTTACATGTGACACTACCTTAAGTACAAACTCTGAGAGTACCCTGTGTCCTAGTGAAATTTTAAAAGTTCTAAAACATTTATTCTTCCTAGATTAAGTTTATTGAGAGGATCAAAACTTTGTACTTGAACATAATGGCCACTCTAATACTTTAAATAGATAGCATTTTTATCAAGTACACTGGATTTTGTCTCTGGTTTCATCCATTTGGCTATGGCCAAGAAGTTTAATGCATTCTGTAGTCATAACTCTATTAGATAACAAGGTTATCAATAGCTCCATTAAAAAGCTGAACATTGGGAATATTTGAGAATTCTTCTTTAAAATGTTTTCTTTCACTCATTTTGTAACATTTCTGAAGCACCATAGATGGCTCTACATCCTTTAAGCTTCACACCAAATTGCTGATTGATGTAATATATTTCAAATAGTGACATTTAAAACAAACATGCTAAAAGTAGCAAGGTTTCTTGATGAATTTCAATGCATTGTTCTTGGCTATGATTCTTCGTTGCTCTGGAACACTTTTGGTTTTCTATAACCGAAATAGAAAACCGAAGAGTACTTGGCTCACTGAAACAATTAATTTTTAATTATACCTCTGTATATTTAAGAAGCGATCCCACTGGAACAGGGGATAGGAGATGGAAAGATATAAGAAGACAGCTTGACTGTTTGGTTTGTAGGTTTTCATAGCCTCTGAAAGGGGCATACTCCTGGTACACTGTACTGGGTTGCCTCCCTTGCTGCTATTTCCTGTCAAAGTCCCTAGTGGTGGATGCACAATGATGCTCATGGTGAAGCTTATGCCAGGATGTGGG